CACTTTGTTATCTCAATAATGAAATCGAAAACAACGTCTGGTAATCTGGCGGTATACATATATTATATATACTATACATATTTCTGAGTAGATACATTTTGGTGGGTGTGGCGATTAACGATGAGTAACTGATAATTAATCCTATCAAGAAAATACGTAGATAAAAGTATCCTCCCCCCTTTCTCGATTCGTGCGATATATGTATACATATATGTTACAGATCAATTAAAATTCATGATTTCACTCGAAACTTCTGTATTTCTGAATAATCGATCACTGATAATTAAACTGCTAATAATTTCACGTATCAATGACAAAAATTAGTAGACGGAGTTCGAAACAGTGAAAACAATAAAAAAAATTGACGATCACTGTTACGTTATATTTTCAACTTATTAAAACCATTAAGAAACGAAATATTTATACATTTATTGTGTCTCTGTTTCTTTCAATTAATCCAAACAATCTTTATTTTGCATAAAGATACATACAATACATTATAAAGTATAATATAATTATCTTCATAGCAACTTTTAATGTTACAAAATCGTATTTTCAAATCAAACAAAAACATAATTTTATAAATTAAATGAAAATGGCTTCTATTATCCACTTAAATAGAAAAGAAAAGTACAATTAACAACGAGTGTAGCATCAACAAAAGAAAGTTAGAACTGTACTTTCTAAGGAAGTCACAGACACGAAAATAATTATGAAAACAAATAACATGTTACGTAAAATAAAATTTGAGACAATATGATTTCCAATGTTATCCAGGTCTGTTGTCATGTTCAGTGGAAAGAATTGTTGTCAAAGATATATCCGATAAAGATAAGATTAAATAAGAATAAAGCATTTATCCAAAAAACATTTCATTATCAAGAAACGTTTAATTGATTAAACTATTAATTCCAGAAAAAATGATGGTTGCAGTGTATCGAAGATTCTCTGGACTCGTCATACTAATCTATCAGCGTATTACTAGATACGCCCGACACATACGCATAATCGCGTTAACGCGAATTTCCCGTTCTTAAGACATTCTCAACTGCAGCGACTAATTACGGCCATTAGTTATCTCACTTTCTCAGGGCATTGTCTTTCAACGTGTTCCTGCTGCTGCCTTATTGAATAGTCAGCGATAGTTGAATAGTCCAAACAATGATCTCGCTCTCTGTATAAATAATCACGCCTACGTTGTGCCTGCGGAAGACGCGAATCTCTAATCTACATTGCAGAATTTAATGTTACGCGCGCGTACATTGACTTGCTAATCGGCTGACTTTTCGGTCACAATTGCTAAACTCTGCATGCCCGTGCATAGAATTCGCGCGCACTGATTTATGGAAGCAGGAATTAATCAGAAATCTAATTAGCCAACTAATTGTAAGCGTTCCAGTGAAGTATCAAAGCTTTTACTTCGGCAATCGTAATTCAAATGAAACGCAAACACAGCAGATTTATCGTTATCTTAAAAACCGTTATTCTTCATCATATTTTAACCCTCGCAAAGCGGTGGCTGTGTCAATTTAGACCTAGAGTATTTAAATCTCGTTCGTTTAATTACTCAATTGTCGACAATTAAATGAAATAAATTGCCGTTGCATTAGGAACAATAGAAAGACAAAATATGTTTTGGAAAATTGTTAAATAAAGCTCAGAATTGTCACAAACATCGTCAATAGTACAATTGTGAAAATGGTCCGTCGTCCGAGGGTTAATCGTGAAATAATTATGCGTTTTATCGATATGTGACATTAGCAGTTTAATAATTCTATATAGAGCCTGGATGTACTGAGTGAAAAAGAGATAGGTAATCAATCAATTCATTTTACAAATGAATTTTGTATTTAATCTCGGCTTTTGTACACAACACCCATTAATACAATCGTTTTTACGTTATTATTTCGATCGATCTCGTTGAAAGGTCAAGCGTTTCTTTAATTTATTTTACACGCAGATTTTTTGCAACAATTCTGTTACAAATCTCCAACTGACGTCCTTTTCTTACATCGTGCAGTACAATCATGACATTTGTAATCTTCTCATTTTTCACAATTTTACAATAATGGTGGAATATCAGCATCATATGTATTGTATATTGGTTGTCGATAATATTATTTCCATGACAATATTGCACATTTTACTAATACATTTGAAAAGTTAGGAAATTGTAAATGAAGAATACTATAGAGTTCTTAACGCAATTCTATTTATTTCCCACATAATTTCATCAAAACCTTGACATAGTAAAGACAAGATATATTATGCATAGATGTAACTTCGTCTTCAACGAGTACTTTCGGATTTTTATTTACAACTTCATGTAACATTATCTACTGTTTTAATATTTTTTAATTAGCATTTGAGGAAAGAATCAGGAAAGAAATGCACCTGGTATTTAAAGAATTTAAAGAGAGATTCTCAGTATTCCATCAAATTATTACAATAACTAGACTATAAAAAGCACATATACAGAATAATTTACAAATTACTGTTAATGGAGACAATTCCTGCCTAAACCTAATTATCATTGTCAACAAATTATTTGCAGTACGACACTCTTTGAATCTATTTAGAAGTAAGCTTAGTTTAACCTCTTGTCCAACGATTTATTTTCAAAGAAACGTAGGCGTGCAGACAACTGAATTTAGCGCAACCCCCAGACAACTGAGTTACCACAAAATAAAACTAAAATATTTCTGTTTTTATTGAATATATTTATACAAGTACGGACTCCATTCCGTTCACTTTATTTATTCTTCACGATCTGTATTAAATATTAATTACTAAATATTAATCGAACATTAAATTTGTAACCGGCTATCTTAAAAATCTCGGGAGACGGATATATTTACGAAGGTTTTTAATGTTTTCCTAATGTTTTTGATGCGTGGCCAGCATTTGGGTATTTTTGCACACTGTGCGTCGCCCGTCAAATTCGAGTCTGTCACAAAAACTGTTTGACACTCGACAGTCGAGTCTATCAGTCGTTGCAGAAACGTTTAGAAAGAAAGACATACTTTTCTTGTAAAATAAAAAGACTAAACAGTGAATTACGTTTTACTTATTTTATTGTTATTAATCCATAATTCTAATCCAATCGTGGAAAAAATCGCCGGAAAATTAAGGCAACAGTCTTTATCGCTCTCTCATATATTTATTTACAGAACATTCGTTCAATAGCCATAAACAAGAAAAAGGGAACAATTAACGCGCATAGCAGTAAAGAAAACCTACAAATAGTAATCAGCTGTTATCCTATCGACAGAGATATATTACTTTCGTTTCGTACACGCACGCGGTCATCATAATTTTCGGCGAACATTGCTGCAAGTACACCGCGAATTGCCAAGGCGGGAATATTCAGAGCAGTTCGACAAACAAAGAGCTTAATTATTGGAGAAATTTGTCGCAGCCGTCGGCTGAATTGAACGGAATTGCACGGCTGATTGTCAATCGTACTCGTCTGAGTAACCAAGCGTTGAATTTCAAACCAACAACTCCCCATAGAAGGAAGCGGCGTCGTTCAGACTCCTGCCGGAGTATGAAATAGCTTTTAACCGTATCAAACACCTTTTCTTCAACTCCGTTCAATTTTCTTGCGATATAGTTGCAAACCTTCGTCGACATTCAATCGATACAAGCGTCAAATATACCAATTTTTAATGCTAAAAACACAAGATTACGCTTTACGATTCACGAGACAGTGAAACATTATTTCACAATAACACTTCGTTCGATAATATTTTACCTAAAACATTTTCTAATTACTTCAGCTGTTCTGTGGAATGAGATATTTAACGAGTGGACAATATAACAGCGTGAAAATAGAGCGTAATTACGGAATTACGTTTTATGATACCGTGTAAATCAACAGAGAAAACTGCACAAAGATAAATTTATGGACAATGTTATATTATGTTCAACTTATCACAATCATTAAAAGAGGAAAGACGTTGTTTCGTTCAAATTAATGTTCCACGCGATGAATTTGTACAATTTTTATTTTGCATGTATAGATCATCAGTCTAACCAATATCTACTATTGAAACACTGAGTACATAATCGCAAAACACGTGAAACACCGCTTAGCAATTTTGTCAACAAGGAGCAAAGATTATACAACGTCGAAGATTTAAATGACGTTAATAATTGTACAGCTTGGTAATGTTATTAAGTTTACGTTTCCCGTTTTATTAATGACAGATTTCGCAAGTACCGTTCCTTAACCTTGAACGAAGGGTAAAATAATTCTTTCCGTCTTCGTTCATCGCGGAACTTCGTTACATCTTTATAGACAGTGCGCAACACATCCATTCAGATCCTATGAACTGCTTCAATCATAAAAGTACTGTTTCAATCGTAATCCGTCTGTATCCCGTGTCACGCGGTTGGATAAACCATTTTCATATATGCGGTCCAGAAGAGTACCGTGGAACAACAAACCTCGTTGACAAGCAACCTGACAAGTGGCGGCGATATGTCGAAAGCGTATCGATATTTAGAATCGATATAATTAATATCGATAGATATCGATAAATCATAATTGATATCGATAAATTGATATATCAGTTGAATATAAATGAAAATCATGCACTCTAACAAGAAATAATGTAATTATAACGTAATACATACAATTATAAAACACAGAATATTTTATTTATAATATCAGCGGCAGAGTTTAGACAACAGAAACTTATTCAGATGACGTTATTTCTAACTAACGGATTTAGATATCACGAGCTGTGTGTATCGATAGCGGAATATACATATATCGTTATATTTAAATATCAATGAAAAATATCGTTTAACTTGAGAGAAGTATCGATAGTGTATCCATCGTCGCTAAGCTCGACACGGCGGAAAGGAAAATCGAGATCGCGGCGCGACAGTGAAATTGACCGGGACAGTGAAAGAAATCGGAGTCGAATTGCACAAACGACTTTTCACAACAACCCGGGAGCCTCGGCTCCCGCAAAAACTGGAAGGATGCTAACCTTCGGATATCCGTGATCGACGAACGCAAACGAATTGCCGGCGTACTTTCGATACCGTTTCACCGGAAGTGTCACTCGCGCTCACGGGCTGTCACGCACGCCCGCTCCCGTGCGGTTTTTTGAGTTTTCGCGGAAATATTCGGTCCAGAAAACAAAACGCGACAACACACGGCGGCTGTCGGATACCACACCACTGTCGACAATGAAAACAACGATAAACGATAGACTACACGCGCGCTGAACGACGCTCGGCGCGAGACTGACGACGCGCGACGACGCGAACGGTGCACGTAAGCGTGCAGTTTCAGAGCGTCTCGACGTTTACCAATCAGTAGAGCGGATTCTTGCGTAGCTACGCGTCCGCGCATGCGCGCCGTTTGCCACGAATCTGAGGCCCGCTCGCCGATCGCCGAGTCCGGTGACAACTTGTTCCTTATTCCGCTTATACGCATGGTAAGTCACACAACACAGAACAAAAACATTCAAAATTACGTGTGAAACATGTTGAAATGCGATTACACTGCGTTTAGGTTGAAGCGTGTTGGCATAAAGGGCTGTTTTTTCTTTTTCTTGTGGTCAGAAGGACATTGGTGGATGGGAAATGTGGAGACCGCCCCACAGCAGCCGATTTAACCTGCAAAACCAGTCAAATTCGAATTTCGAAAATTCTGCATAATCAGCAGAATTTTTATTTCTCGGGGTAGTAAAAAAAAACAATGTAGTATGGTATATAATATAGTATATATCTTATACAATGCGTATGGCTACACAATAGCGTTTACCGGCGCAGTGCACCACAAGCATTCCAGACTGACGACATTTGGGGGCTTGGAATTTGGAATGGGGTGAACAGATGTTATATGATTGCCGATGCATGCGTTTTCTTTCGAAACACGGACCATAGGAACGGCAGTCATGAGCCATAGGCAGAGTTTTGCAAATTTTATTTTAAATAATAAATAACACAAATTACAATTAAACAATTACCAAATGTTTAATTAAAAAGTTATTAAGACATATAATTCATTTATTATTTCTTATTTGCAAATGAAATATTATTTTTTACTTGGATCTTCGATAAGACAAATAATAAATAATTTTCTTTTTCTTTCGACAGTTGTATATTATACAACGGATGTTTTGTAGATTAGTTTTGCAAATAATTTATTTATTGGAAACCGAATCAAATTAACCTTCTCATAAATTATTATTAATTAAATTATTAATTTCTCAGAAATAGGGTCGGACTGTAGAATATGTAAGTATCTTAATTTCTTATTAGACTGCGTAATCAAACCTAACCTCGTTTTCATTCAAAATGTGCGAGCCCACATGAGTCCTTACGAATTATTGATGCAAATAGGTACAATTGTAACCAGATATCGTGCACAGATGTGTAGACAGAAACAGAAATTACAGGCATAGAATTATGGGCAGATACAGACGCAGACACAAAGCACGGAATTACCATGTATAAAGCCCCTGAGAGGACATAGAATCAGGGTTGAAATCATCTTTCCTTATTTCATGAAAAATATTATTAAATTACTAATTCTTGTCGCGCAAAAAGATATTTTTTAAAACAGGAACGTCTGAAATATATTTTTAGTGCACTAAATAAAAATTAGAGTATTTAATGACAGCTTCAGCAAAGCGAATCTTGACTTGGAGGCACAGAAATTGGGACATATTCCCTACACAGATGAAAATATTTGTGCGATACAGAGTTAAATAGAAAATCAGATACAAACGGGACTGATTTTTTAAATTATATGTACATACATATAAAAATCACGTTGACAATTTTCAAGTAGGGTAAGGATCTTAGTTACCAACATATATTTTCAGCTGAAATTTGCGTAAAAATTAACTTTTTTTCGTATTTCATATTGTTTGGTTCTCTAATTACACAAGTAAATATTCTCTGAATGTTGTGGGCTTAAATTCAATATGAAATTAACGAAAAATAACGTAAACGTCCCAATTACCGATCCTAAATATTTCTAATTTGTTTTTCATACATTTTTCAATATATTTTTACCAAATTAATTTTAAAAATTTCTAATAACCTACCCTGCTTAAATTAATCTACTAAAGTAGACAAATTGAATTAAACATACGGTCAACAAGTTCATTAATTCGATCTCTTAATCATATCCATATCGGTGTCGTTTGCAGCAAAAACACAACTAGTACTTTTTAAACATTTTTTTAGAACTTACTTACTTAATTTTTTGCCATATGTGTTCCAGGTAATGTTGGTAATTAGGACCCTTATCCTACGCTTTAATATTATGAAAATCATAGGTTCGAGGGTTCACGAAGGAAACAGCGTAGAAGTAATTCAACGTACTCGTATGTGCTATTAATATGCTCGACTGGTGCTGGTAATCCAATCTCGTCGAGTTACTCCGTTTAGCGTAACTACTTCAGTGCCTCCGGTACTCACTGTTTGCGGTGCCTTCGGACACCAAAAATCCTGGTGCACGAGTGCTGGCCAATGTCCCGGTTATAATGCGAGGGCCACGTGCCTTCTGGGAACCCTGCCCTAATCTAATCGACAGCGGTCCAACTCCAATGGGAAGAGTTACGATCGGAACGCCGTGTCACGGCACACGTGAAACTGGGACTGGGAAATAAACTTTCTACAACCTTTAATTTTGGTTAACTTTTAATGACATTTTTCAAACAATTTTCAGAAATTCTTTTTATTCCACTCTTGGCATTAGGTCTCGGTACATACAGGGTACCCCAAAATTATGTTATTTCCAGGAAATTAGGGATTCCTAAAATCATTTGATGTAACTTTCTCCTTTACAAAAACTTTCACCGAGCTATCGTTAACGATTTATTAACAAAAAACACTGACCAATAAGAGGCGAGCTCGCTCGGCGCTAGGCGGCCGAGCCGAGGTATATTCAAATTGTCTTGATATCAAGATGCCTAAATTTTGATATTATCATATCAAAAGTGAAACATCATTACTTCCTCAAAACCTGAAGTAAAACATTTTTCAATGAGATCTTTTTTATTTCATGATCAGGATATTAATTTGTTTAGTACTGTTTACAAACAAGGAAGACCTGTTTTTGTAGGTTTCTGCCGTTAGGATGATCGGATTTAGTATGACACGATTCAGGTGCAGTCTAAAATCAATAGCATGTGATGGCAACATGCAATGATAGAGGATGTATGTACTTTTGTACTGCTCGAAACACTATGCGATAATGCAGCGAGTAACGATAATATTCGAACATCTTTTAAAATGCAATAACTTTTTTCAAAATTGGACCAAATGACTTGAACATTTTTGGAGATGATAGAGGGACTCGCTTGCAAGACAATGTCGAAACTATTGTTTGGAGTAATTGCAATTGGTTGGAATAACAAAAAGATAAAAGAAATTATGTTTTTTTTCCTTTATCAAAACTTATGACGATAATTTAAACGGTGTGTCTTTTAGGTGCCGGTAATTTAGGAAAACTAAACCTCGTTAATTAAAAGGTAGTCAAATAAATTTTACAACTTTCGGCTGTCAAGAAGGTGCGAGCAGTAATTAAATGGTGCTACATACATGAACTACATAAATGAACACAGGTAGGGAGAATGAATCAAGGAAATTTAATCGAATTTGCATTATTGTTATATTCTAAAGGAGGCCGCGCTTCAATAGTCGGAGGGTTAATCACGTTTCCTCAATAAACCTTCCAACTTTTTCAGTTTCACAGAAATAGGTAAATAGGTTTCAATGATATCGAAAAAATCGATAACGAAATTCTGAGACACCTACAGAAAGTTTTTGATTACTATGGTATGTAAAAATACAATACTCTTCGTTAATACAGAGTTTCGCCTTTATCGACGCAAGGCTTATTGACACAATTTAAATATTTACGAATACTGTGACAGTTCTTGTTTGCAAACGCCGCGACCACATGAATTAAATTTTCAAGTAAAATAAATGAAGAGACATGCAAACTGTGAACCAGGTTTCTCTAAACCTTCATATACTCCTCTGTACAAGTGTTCTTCTGATATTTTGTAATAAATCGAATACACACATACACACACGCGCACGCACGCACGCGTGTATATGTATATATAAATTGGTGGAAATTAATTCTTCAGTTCTAAACATACAAGCGTGTATCACTGGTGGTTTACGCGGCACGGAACGTGTTAAATACAGAACTAATATTAACACTCGAATGACTCAAATGACTGGTTTCATATTTTCAATTTAATAATTATTCAAATTACAACGATGTTCCTATGGGGAACGATGTAATTAATTTCTTTATTCAAGCAATCTCATAGAGATCGCACAAAATCTTAAAATTCCAGTTACATTTTAACACTTGATAGGTTTATAGTGGTAAATATGCACGGTTGGAATATTATATAATAATGTCGATTGGAAGATCACGCAAGCCCGCGTAGAAAAAAAATGAAGCTATTAAATAGATTGAAAAACATCTGCACAAATTCACGGCGGTTTTATTCGACTGTTGCAACACGCTCGTCACAAACAAAAACTTTTCGTGGCAATTATACATATAAGCTACCACATCCAATCCTGTTTTTACGCGCTCTTTTTATAGGATTTTTAGCCGACGTGGTTTAAAAAAGGAATGGCAATCCTCTTTCTCGCAATTTATTTGGGGTTAGTACGAATGACTTTTTGAAATTTCTGTTAAAATTTCCTTTCAAAGCGCAGTTTTAAAAGCTTCAATTTCAATTCGTAAAAAATCGTTTCTGTGTCAAACAAAAATCCCTAGAATTTAATAACGATAAGTTGAAATTTCTTCTCAAATTGCAGTTTGAGAAATTTCAATTTAAATTTGTAAAAACTGTTTCTGTTCTAGAAAGAGTTCCTAAAATTTACAAACAGTAAGTTAAAATTTCCTTTTAAATTGCTATTTGAAAAGCTTCGGATTGAAATTCTTAATAATAATTTCCGTTGATCAAAAGATTCCTGGAATTTAATAGCAGTGAATTAAAATTTCCTTTTTAATTGCTGTTTCAGAAGTTCAAATTTAAATTCGTAAAGGCTGTTTCTGCCCTAGAAGAAAATTCTTAGATTTTAATAACAGTGAGTTAAAATTTCTTTTTAATTTGCCGTTTGAAATTTGCCGTTTTAATCTGCCGTTATATTAATATTTCACAAAAGAGTGAACAGAACTGAAAAATAATACACACACACACACACTCACGTATATACAATAAATGAATGTAATCTAATCGATGTTGTGCATGCAATCTAATGAATATTCTAACGAGCGTA